CAGTTTTGTTCAGTATTTTCCATAATAGCTTGCATGGTGGAATAGAAAGTGGCATGGTTGAAGCCAAGGTGGATGATGGTATGAGTTCTGTGGAAAACAGGATCAGTCATGCAGATAAACTGACAGAGTCACCTGAAAACAACAGAGTTCAGGTGCAGATTGTGTAGGAAAGACAAACATATGTAAACACAAAGTGGGGAAAGCTAGTAAAATTTGACTGGGAAGGATCTGAGACGTCACAAACAAAATATAAATGATTAATCTGACACTGCTACAGAGAGTTTCAGACCTCATTCTGTATTATACGAACATAAGCATTGCATCTAAGATAGAAGCAGTTATCCTGCTGTGCCTGGCATTGGTGATGCTTCAGTGGGAGTCTGTAGTCCAGTTTGAGCAATTTAAGAAAGATACAAGTCAACTGGAGAAAGTCCAGAAGAAAATATTAGGAATCAAATGCAGGAAATGATGAGGAAAAACGATGTTTGTTTGGTTTAGAAAAGAGGAAGCTGAGAATAATTGCCTATTCTCTTTAACCAGTGAAGAAAGGACCAGAGGAAATCAGCGTGACTTTGACTGAGGAATTAAATCACCTTTTCCCAAAATCCAGCTCTGACAGAGGGAAAATGATAGGACCAACTATGTTGTGGAGTTCCCTCACTGGAAGTTTCTAAAGGGCTGGACAAGTATATCGTGAATGATGAAGATATATTTCAGCTTCTGCAGGGGAGGAAAGGGGAAGGGAGTTCCTACACATTTCTGTTATTCTGGGAAATGCATTAATACACAAATGCTTTTAATCTGTAGCTGTTTTTACTAGTCATCTGATTCACAGTGAACCTGCTTAGACTTAACCCATGAATTGCCTTAGCTATTGCTTCACCAACCTGTCATCTTATTAGCTCAGCTACCCAAAACTGCTCTTGCAGATAGACCGTAAAGGAACTTTTGCAACAAGTATTCAGGAGATCAGAAATCCAGCGTGGTTCTCTTAGAAAAGAGACCACATTAGAAAATATAAATAGGTTGTTTCTTTTCTTTTGAATATGGCACAGTTTAGTTTTCTGAAATAAAAACATTTTTAGGATGGTGGGCTCCTGCTTATGCGTTTGACCCTCTTGGACACCTCAATAATTGGTGCTTCTTAAAATACGGTTTTAAAATATTTGTGATTGCCTTCTATCTGCAGAGAACAATTCAGGGAGAGAATTCTGGAATAGCTCTATAGTGGGCACAGACGACCGTGTGTGTGCTTGCATTTATCAGGCAATGTAAATGTGTGGGACATAGCAGTACTTGAAATACTCCTGAGGACAAATTTTTAATTGAGGAAGCAGCATGTTTGGATTGTTTTCCCCTGCTTTTCATTGCTGTTGGCCTTACAGAAAGGGGAGTTACACTCAGCAGGAAAACAAAAAAAAAAGTAGATTTCCAAGTGCAGCATGAATGTGGAATTGAACAAATTGACATTTTTCTGCATCTTTTCTGTTATTCTTTGTGCAAAGGGAGGGTTTGGGATATATGGGTGCAATTATTAATTTTAATGGGCCGCAACAGATCAGACAGAGCAGTAGAAACAATTTCTCGTGTTCAGAGAAAGTGCTTTTGTGTCTGTGAGGACAGGTGCATGCTGTAGGTTACCCCTCAGTCCTGATCCCCCACATTTCCAGACCAGGGATGAGCCGGAGTGGTGTGCAGTTCCACCTCTGCCAGCGTAAACCAGGGCTAGCTGGCTGAATGTGGCTGGGCGTACACCTGGGGATGGGAATCATTCTTGGATCCCATTCTTCAGGCATAGCCTTGCAATCAGAATTTATCAGTAAAACAATGTCAGGGCTTAGTGCTTCCCTTCTGTGCAAGGGACAGTTATCCCACTACTTGATTACAGGAAAGTGAATAGTCTGTCTTGGTGTAATGGAGCCTTACTAATACTATTTCTGTTCAGTCATAACAATTGAAACTGAGTGAGCAGTAGATCGGGACTCCTGTTCAAGCTAGGCTGCATAAAGATTTCTAGACATGTGTTTGGAGACAACGTATAGGAAGTATATTTCTGTGCTTTTGAAAGACAGAAATGGTTAACCCACTCTGTCCAGTACCCTGTGTTTGTGGAAACTTTACTGCAGTGACTTATTTTATGGGCAGATCAGAAGGTGCTCTTGAAGGGTATTTTTCCAAGCCTTGGTGTGCCCGATGGCGTGGAGTAAATTCAGGCAGTTGCCGTCAGTCAGACGTTCAGTGCAGGCGCGCGTTTGTCGTTTTGTGACTGGGAAGGCAGGTAGTCAGTACTCCCTTGTGGTAATAAGGAGGTGCGCTGTTGGGATCCAAGTGCTTTAAGAGCACGTACATGACTGCAGAGCCCAAATAGACACTAAAAGAAGTACTGGTGCCAGAAATTGTGACTCAAGATGCTATCTGCATTGATTTTGGCTGCAAGCAATGCATGCCTTTTTGGCCCAGACCATGCAGACATGTACATTCAAGCTATTCCTGTCATAATGATTATCTCAGAAATTTAATTAAACTGTGAAATCGTGGCTTTTCTGCTTCAAAGCCAAAAACAACTGCATAGAAGATATGGAAAGATTAATCCTAATTTCAGTCGCTTTGTAGATCTTCAGAAAAGATTAAAAAGTTGTATTACTTAGCAGTTGGAAACTGTTAAATGTGAAGCAGGGTTTTTTTAAGCTTCTGTAGATCTTGTTTTCTATAAATGTTAATAAAGCTTTTCTCAAGCTTACCACAAGTACCTCACAGCTCCTTTTCTAAGGCTAACATCTGCTGCTGTTTTCACAGACACAGAGGGGCTTCTGAGAATTAAAGAGGAGAACCAGAAGCATTATCGCAGGGCTCAGCGGCATCAGGAGAAGAAAGAGAAGATCCAGAGGCATAACCACAGGCTGGGAGACTTGGTAGAGAAAAAAACCTATGACTTGAAAACCCAGCATGAACATCTGGCAAATCTTCGCCGGACACGCATCCTGGAGCTAACATCAGTGATATTTCCCATAGAAGAAGTAAAGACAAGCATGAGGTACAGAAGATTTATCCTTTTGAACTCCTTTTGCTTAGCTTTAGATGCCCAGAAGTGAGTCATGTAAGTCTAAGCTCGGTACTCTGGCTCTTCTGGCATCTGTGGAGAGAAGGAGGTATTTCCCAAAGGCATCCTTCCCAAAGGATAGAATAGAAGGATCTGGAGGTACTGGTATCTCGCACTGAGAGATCTGAGGCATGTGTCCGACATTAAGCTCTTTTAAAAGAGGCAATTAAAAATCCCAGACCAAAGTAAAATAGTTTCTGTAACAAGGAGTTTTGCAGCAGTGTTTGTACAAGCGTTTCATTCTCAGTGAAGTCCATTTAAGTGCCAGCCAAGTACATTGCTGGTTATATTTTAAAAACGTCTTTAAAAACCCTCTGTTATTTTTTGGGGTGCTACAGAGATCCTGCAGATGTGTCTTCTGAGAGCGACAATGCTATGACCTCTAGCACTGTGAGCAAGCTTGCGGAAGCCAGGAGAACCACTTATCTCTCTGGAAGATGGGTGTGTGATGACCATAACGGGGACACCAGCATCGGTATCACAGGGCCTTGGATAACCCTTCCTAATAATGGAGACTATTCAGCATATTACAATTGGGTGGAAGAGAAGAAAACTACACAAGGACCAGGTAAGAAGCGAGGTCTGATTAGACATCTGGGATATTCCAGAAGGTGTAGAACTTCTGGCTTTGAATGCCAGCAGAAGGCACTGGGACTGGTAGCTCAGTCCATTTGTTCTCGGATGGATGAACCTGAGTTAGAAGTAAAGAAATGCCAAGAAAGGGATTAGTCTGTTGAAAACCTCTTTTGCAGGAAATGCTCATCGGGGCGATGTGATAGAGAAATAAAGTCAATTATTCACAGCTTTGACATGGTTCACATGCCACAGGTTTCACAGGAATTCCAAGAATTACTGTTTTCTACTGGCTTCTGACAGACTTAACTGTAAATGATTACCAGATTCAGGCAGTTCTCAATACTGACAAATGACACTTTCCAGAGTAGACTTCAGTAACGCATTAAAACACCCACTGAGGCTTCATATAAAATGAGACTTTCGTGATGTTTTTATTTCTTTTAGATATGGAACATAATAACCCTGCTTATACCATCAGTGCTGCATTGTGCTATGCAACTCAGCTCGTTAACACTTTGTCTCTCATACTTGATGTAAATCTTCCGAAGAAGCTCTGCAACAGGCAAGTAATTGCAAGCCTCTAAGAAGATGAATCAGTGACTAGTTTTGACTGACCTCGATGTGATTTGTTTCTGTGAACATGTCATTATTTGGAACAGCTTTTATGGTAATGGTTGACGGCTCATGGCTTTCTGTGCTATGTAATTTTAGGGGGAGGGCTAGTAGAATTTTGGATCACAGTTAATAGTCCCTCCCTCCTTTTTACCTCCTGAGAGCCTAGAGCAACCACCGTCCTTCAGAATGACAGCTTATTAATAGACGTGTTCAGGCTCCTCAATTTGGGAATGAAATATGACAGTGCATGAATAGCACTTTTTTCATTTTATGAGACCCTACTGTGCTTTACAAAATCCCAGCCCAGTTCAGTAAGTCTTAGTCATCTTGAATAGCTGCGCTACATATATGATCTAATAGTAATCATTAAGAGTTGTAGAACGAGGCTTTATAATATGACAGCAGCGTAATTCTCTTTGGGATAGAACACCAATGGGGAACATAGCTGGCTGCCAGACATCTGGGAGTGTATCGTGTAAACTCCAGTTGTGACGAAAAAAAATTAGATTTTTAATGTCTCTATAAAGTGGATGGGATCTGTACAGAATATTGAGGAAGCTGTGGACTTGGTCAGTCTTTCAGGGGTCTCAGCTCTGCTGTTGAGACTCTTAAGTGTTTAAAACAGTGGTTGTCTAAGCAAGAGCACAAAAGTTGTGTGGGACCACTGTAGTTTTTTGTCCTGTGATTTGGGTGCTCAGTCTGCACAGAAGGAAAGGATTTGGAATAGGATGTGATGTGAGATTTAAAAGGAAAGCCAAAATAATTTGGCAGCAACAGGCCTTTCTGAGTCTACATACTGTTCACATCACTTGCCCTGTAGAAACCAGTGAGACTGGGGCAAGCAGGGCTTGTTGGGGAAATGCTAGCAATCTTGCAAGGTGAAAAACACTGATCTCTTGAGCACTCTGAAACTGGCTGTACAATTTAAACAAATGCTCACTACAAGATTGCTTACTGCACAATACATTAAGAAGCCAGGGTACAGAATGCTGATGTCTCCAGTTGGTGTATTTTCATAGTGTTTTGCTCTGTGTGTCTGTGTGTGTGTGTGTGTGTGCGCGCGCACGCATGCGGTCTTTCAACAGCGAGTTCTGTGGAGAAAATCTCAGCAGACACAGGTTCACGCGGGCAGTGAAGAAGCTGAATGCTAATATCCTTCACCTTTGTTTCTCTCAGGTAGGATGAATGCACATTTAGATTCTTTAAATAGCTTTTAAAATATGTGTGACTGCAGGTTTCCTCCAGTAACTGATGATGTCTTTATCTTTCCTTCCCCTTGGTAGCATGTAAATTTAGATCTGTTGCACCCGCTGCATACGCTCAGGAACCTTATGTACCTGGTCAGCCCAGACACCGAGAACTTGGGCAGGTAAGAGCAGCGGTGTCGATGCGCCTGTGACTAAATTGCTTTTCGAGTTATACATTCGCCTTGTTATTTATGAGGGAAATTCTCCCCTTTTGCTGCACCTATGGATGACTCCTCCTCAACACATCAGAAATCAGGGTGGTTGCAGGAAGACAGGAGAAGGCAGAAAATGGGGGTTCTTAGTAGAAGATTGGATTTCGGAGATCTCTGTACACTGTGCTTCTGCGTATGGCAGGCTCATCTGGAGAATTTGTGACTAACTGTATGGACTTGCTCTGTGCCCAGAAGCAGGAACTCCTTTCCTCTGGATGACAGCAACACATGTCCCAGGCAGTCTCTTGTGCTCCAGATATGACTGTAATCACATCTTGCCAATATATAAATATCAAAGAGCATCCAGTAGTATAAACCCTAAAACAAATACTGGGTAACACTTTCACAAAATACTTCCAATCAGTGAGCCCCATAGTCCAAAGTCCACTCTTCAAATAATACGAAGTTTTATGTAAATTAAGATTAAAGACAACTTTTCTGTTAATTTAGTAGGCAATGTAAAGAACATCCATTACTGCAGGCTGTGTGCACCAGCTCTAATATTCTTCCTTCTTTACAACTTAAGTATAAAAAAACCTAACACCATTGATCTGCTGTTGGGATAATCCGGTCACAAGTCACTTATGCCTGGGACAGTCTACAAATATTAGTTTAATCTGACTACTGTTTTATCCCCCTCAAACGCATGTTCTATCTTTTTGACCTTGTTCTAATGTGCAGTTCTTGTCTTTATTTAAAAACCTGTAGTGCCGCTAGGATGAACTGAATTCATGTTTCTTAGAACTTGTGTTCTTTGGATATATCCCTACTGGTTTGAACCAAGGGCAAGGGGAGCCAAACCCCTTTAACATAGCTCAGTTTGGAAAAAGAGGTGCTTGCTGCTGCTTGTCTGAAAACAAGGGAACTGCAGGAAATACCTGGTGAATGAAGAACTGTGTTCTAGGAAGTAGTTACTATAATAAGGATCCAAGGGCCACAGTGGACTCACTTCTCTGTGTGACTGTTACTAAGCTTCACGTGCATCAGCAGGGTCCGCATAGCAAAAGAAGAGGTTACAGGAAAGAGTAAAAGCATCACTGGAGAAAATACCTGCCAGGGAGAGAAATAGTTTAATCTTTTTAAAACTCTTTCAGCTCATTAGAGATGAGATTGAGAGATGACTTGATTTCCACACCTTCATGGGGAGAAACTGGAGGCTACTGAATGGCGTCTTAGTCTGGCAGAGAAGAGCATAAACACCATTGGAAGCAGAGAGTCTGAACTAAACTGAAATGAGGCACACGCTTTTAACACAGATTAATTATCGGCAAGAATGAAAGTGGAGATTCTCCATTTCCTGATGTCTCCCAGTCAAGGCTTGATGAGTTTTTGGAATGCATGGTGTCATCAAGCAGAAGTTACTGGGCCCAGGACAGGGGGAACTGGGTGGAATTTAATGGCCTTTGTTATATAGGAGATCACAGCAGATGATCTAATGGTCCCTTCTGGCCTTAAACTGATGACTCTCTTCTGATGTTGCCTTGTTAAGCAAAAGGCTTTGCCAGAAGGCAGCGCTCCCATTCCTTTTTATATTATGAAAGAGAAGTGTTTAACTTTAATTTCTCAACTGCCTGCACAGTTTGCAGCAACCAGCTGCCTTTATTTTGCTTTAGGTATCTAGTTTGTAGTTTCCTTTATAAGCTCCTGTTTTCAGATGCATATAATTTTATCAAGCTTTTATTGTTTGGATTAAAATTTTCTGTCCTAAATGGCTGCTTCAGGCTTCTCCAAACAAGGCTGGTGAAACACTCTTTTATACATGTTAAATTCACGCTCCTGTTTCACTGAGAATCTGTAGGAGCTTTGCGCTTTGGAATGAAATTTGACAGAGACTCTGCTTGCTGCAGGGGATAAACCTTTCATTGACTCTGTGAAAATCTGCCCTCTCCAGTTGTGGATTATGGACCTCTGAAACTCTTTGCAAATGCTCAGGAAACATTTTTTTAGATTTTGACTCCCAAGTTTCCTGTATTCTAGTGCAAGGCTGTAGGACTGGGCAGGATGCAATTGCTTCTCCTACCAGGCAGCGGCAGCAGAGAACTCAGAGTTGCAGCATAGTTGAGGTTCGCAGGGGCCTCTGGAGTTCCTTTAGTCCAACTCCCCTCTCGAAGCAGGTTATTCAGGATCATGTCCTGGCAGGTTTTGAATATCGCCAGTGCTGGAGACTCCACAGCCTCACTGGGCAACCTGTTCCAGTGTTTGACCACCCACACAGTAAAAAAAAAAAAAAGAGATTTTTTTTCTATGCACTCGGGTGCTTTCAGTTCTCTCTGCACTGGCACTTGGGCAGCCTGCAATGTCA